TATATCTACATGTAATTTTTATTCTCGGGGGAGGGGGCGGGTTGTCGAAGAAAACAAGAGATCAGTGATGTTGCTGAAATAATTTTTTTGAGGAGGGGGGGGGTGTCAGATTATATAAAAAATCGGAGAGAGCTACTTTATTGCAGCTAGGACATATGATGTAGATTTTCTTTTATATAGAAATCTTATAATTTTATTATTTTTCGTTAAAAAAGCTGTTTTCAGATCACAGAATGTAGGGGGTATTTGGAATATATATACAGGTAATGAAATCTTTTCCTAGCTCTAAATTATTTATGTCGTCATTGGCAACGTAAGCCTTTTCTGCTTCCGGGAAGGGGTGGGGGGAGTTACCAAAAAATAGACAAGTTATGGAAAGGAGAAGGGGATTTGCACATCTAGCGGTCCGGGTGAGAGGGGGGGGGGTCATGGTTCGTAGGAACTGTCTTACCTACCTCTAAATAAAAAAAATCCCCATACCATTATAATTTTTTTTCATAGTATGGGGATGTTTAATGAAGAGAAAGTTTATTTTAAAAAGTGCCAGGAGAAAGGGGTGTGTTCTAATAATTAATAAGATGATCCATATAATTATTTAACAGCAATGTATCAACCCATTATAGTTCGAGAAAAGTTTTATTAATATTTCTTTAAAGTATTTATATTGTATATAATTTGTATTCTTATACGCTGTGGCATTTTATATTTCAGAAGTTTGTTAATCCAGACGAGACAAGCCTCAAAACCAGAGCAGCTCCATCTTTGGCGTCTCACAAGGTACAACATATTATTACATGTATCTTACCTTTACAAAAAACGGATTGAATAATTTCTTTTTTTTTCAGTACATTAATTTATGGTCTTGAAGTTGACATGTGCGTTTTAGGTCTCAAAAGAATCTGACGATGGAATATAAACATGACCCTCCCCCTCCCCCCCCCCCCAAAAAAAAATGAGCTAGGCCATATTTATAAAACTGTTTGCTTGCCATCTCCCGACCAACTGACTAAATTTGCCCTACTCAGAATTTTTTATTTACATTCCTGGACACCTTTTTTTCTTTTCCCCCGTCAAAAAATATGTTGAAATTTTTCGGGGAAAAGATTTTCATACATACCTCCCGACCCAATAATTTTACCCAGAATCAGGATACAGCAAGCAAACATTACTTTAAAAATGACATTGGCTTAATTTATCTAGGGGTTCTTATTGCTACGTCCTAGTTCGTCCTATTTTGTCAAACAAATTCTCTATCCAACAGGCCATATTTTATATATTCTTAAAAAAAGATTATTTAATCTTTCAGATTCGGGGCGGGGGGGGGGGGGTTTAAATTAAAGAAATAATAGAAATAATAGAACCTATTAAAGAAAAACGTCAAAAATTACTTGGACTTTAAAATTCGAGATATGAAATAAAAAAAAAAACCAATTAATCAAACAAAACAGAACACATTCTGAACATTAACTTGATCAAGTTATCTATTTTGCGGCGAAATGCTTATAGGGCTTTACAGCACTGTGTAGTGAGGGCTCACAATTCAGTATTGCTGAACAAAAAGGAACAATTTCAACGTAGATTTATAAAGTTAAAAGGCATTCAAATTATATTGAAATACCTCAAGTGAACAGAAAAATAAATACTTTATGGTCAAGTTTGAGAGTAGAGCAGGTTTAGAAGCAAAACCAAATTTAATTTTTTTTATTTTCAAATAATCATGACAATAATTTGTAACTACTTCATCGTACATTTTGATCTTATAAACATTTTCACAAACATAGTTTCCCCTTGGATAATTTGGTTATAAATTTGTGAAAAATAATGGGATCGTCCTAACGGAGTGTCCTGATTTAGCAACAAATATGTTGAAATTTTCTGGGGAAAAGATTTTCATACATACCTCCCGACCCAAGAATTTACCCAGAATCGGGAGACGGCAATTAAACATTTTTATAAAGATGGTCTGAGCTTATAATTTATTGTCTGTCCGTTACAATGGGTTTCATATTGCTACGTCCTCGTTTGTCAAATTTCTCTCTCCAACAAGCCATGATTTTATATATTCTTTACTTAAAATAAAGATTATTTAATCTTTCAAATGGGGGGGGGGGGGGTCAAGTTAAAGAAAAAATAGAACTGGATACAGGAAAACGTCAACGATTGCCTGGCCATAAAAATTGAGATAAGAAAAAAAAACCAACAATTAATTAAACAAAACAGAAAACATTCTAAACATTAAGTTATCTATTTTGCGAAAATGTAACTGAATGTGCTTATAGGGTTTAACAGGGCAGTGCACTGAGTGCACACAATTCAATATTGCTGAACAAAAAGGAACCATTTCAACGTAGCTTAAATTTATTAAGTTCAAAAGCATTCAAATTATTTTAAAGACCTCAAATGAGCAGAAAAATATTTACTTATTTAATGTGAAGTCTGAGAGTAGAGAGGTTTAGAAGCAAAACCAAATCTATTTTTTTTATTTTCAAAATAATCATGACACTATTTTTGTAACCGATTCATCATTTTGATATTTTAAACATTTTCGCAAACATTTTCTTCTTGGATAATTTGGTTATTTGTGAAAAATAATGGGAACGTCCTAACGGAGCGTCCTGATTTAGCTTACGTCATTAGTATTGTGACATCACGTTTCGTAGTAGAATTTCGTTGTGTTGTGGTTACGATTCATTCCAACGGCTTTAGTCGAAGACATCGGACGCATTTTTTTACTCTCTTGATTTTTGGCAAACTTGACTGCAACTAGCAGAGAAATGGCGACGATGATGCACGACAACAAAGATAAGAGGGTATAGCCTCATTATGTTTGTTTATTTAGTAAAAAGAAAAAAATAGTGTGGTATTCATATTTATTAATTTTGTTATATTTTACTTGGAATATGAGGAGGGGCAACGGGAGGGTTCGAGTGCTGATTGCTGAGCTGTTGTTGCCCATCTTTTAACGGTTTAATACACCTGGATCATTTTTCTGTAGTATTACTGCGAAAGAAAATATATCTACATGTAATTTTTATTTTCTCGGGGGGGGGGGGTGTTGTCGAGGAAAACACTGATCTCATCAGCGATTGAACGTTTTGCTGAACATTTTAGGTGAAAAGATGCAGTTTCTCCATATTTATCCGAATGTATAATATAGATTTCCTTTGTAAAAAAATATAATAACTTATTACATAAAAGTTTTATATAGACGGTTCTTTCGTCAAAAAAATTGTTTTCAGATCAAAAAATGTAATAAGAATACACAGGGAATGAAATCTTTTCCTAGCTCTACATTGTTTCATATCGCCATTGGCAACGTTATCCTTTCCTGCTTCCAGGAGGGCGGGGGGGGGGGGTGCAGAGTTACCAAAAATTAACACGTTAATAAAAAGAAATTTTAAGGTACCGGATCATAGGAACTTGGCATTTTTAGCATTTCTTTCAAAAATAAATTTGTTTATTATATAATTTTTTTTGATGATATGGGAATAATTTAATCAATGAAGAGAAAGGTGTAATACGTGTCGTGGACGGGTGTATTTTACTATTTGAGAAAAATGATGCACATGGAAGAGAAATGCATTAACCCATTGTAAATTGGTAATAATTGGGGGTGACAAAATAACGGGTGTATTAACACAGGGGAAAGTCTAGGAGAATTGCTGGCAATAAGCGGGTATGGCAATATAACGGAAGGCATTATACCCAGGTAGCACTGTAAGATTTTGGAAGTATTTGTATTGTATGTGATATATTTTAATAGATATTATGTTCCCCAAACGAAGTTGGGGAACATATTGTTTTTACTCTGTTTCTTATTATTATTATTATTTTTCTTCTTCTTCCTGGGTACTTTTTTGTCCGGGAGTGATCTTGTAAACTACACATCCGACTTAGGTAAAACCTTTTTAGGGTCAGTAGGCATGTTATGTAGATTTGCGGAACGAAGGTCATTTTGCGCGCACGTGCTTGCAAGAGCGTGCACGTGCAACACGTGAAATGACCGATTTAATTGATATAGGCGTAACTTTTCACATTTTTGATGAAATGCTTTGAAACTCATAATATAAGGATATATTAGTAGCATAGACAACATGACATGGTCAAAATAGCAAGATCTCATGCGCATGCACGTGCGCTTCGCTCTGATTGGCTGAAACTAAAGTCTTAATATCTTTCTTGTTTTTTGACGAAATCCTTTGAAATTTTGAACATAGCCATACATTTTAATATCCTACAACACGATATATAGCAATTATCATGAAAACACGTGCATGCACGTGCGCTGCAATCTGATTGGCTTAAACTTTAAATAGCTATAACTCCCTTGATTTTCAACCAAACAGGATTGGATTTGGAAGATAGATAGATATAATGGACCTCTACAAGAAGGTATTGTCACAATGCACATGCATACACGTGCATGTACGTGTACTGCAATCTCATTGGCTGAAACTTTAAACAGCTATAACTCCCTCGGTTTTCAACCAAACGGGTTGGGATTTAGAACATAGATAGATATAATGGACTTCTACAAGAAGGTATGGTCACCATGCTAATGTATGCACGTGTGTGCACGTGAAATGAGTAAAATCCAAAATACCCTTGAATGAGCGTATTTTTAATACTTTTGGATTAAATACTTCAATATTTAGAACATTAAAATATATAGATTTTGTAGACAATATGATATGGTCATTACGCACATGCATTCACACGCGTGCAATGCTAAAATTTGAATGAACTTGGTACACTTCTTGGTAAACGTTGTTAAAATCTCAAATGCATAGAGTTTGTCTTATTTAATGAAGCTTACAGGGGATATGGCACCAAAAGGGAGTTGGGGAGCGTTTGGGGAACATCTGTGACGGTCCCCGTTACAATTAGCACTAGTTTTGTTTGTGTTGTGGTGAGGGGGTTTTAGGAACATTCTGCTCGTATAACTACCAGTCTATAAGTTGGTATAAAGTATCATCAAGCATACACATTTTCTATACTTCAGACTTTGGATGGTCCAGACGGGAACTCACAGGGAACCAGAAAGCCCCCGCTCTGCACCCCTGCTGAGGTACTGTAAATAACTTTTTATTCGCGAGAACATCATTTTCGCTGGACAGTGTGCTTGCAAAAATATTATTCTCGCGTATATTAGTATTCCTAAAGATTATTTACATCAGCGAGCAGCATTTGTGAAAAGGAGTTGGGGGAACAAGACGAGCAGAATCCCTAAAGCGTCGGATATTAAGAAATCATATTCAATATGTGAATTGAGTACTAGTATTTACATTAACTTCAGTTCTCATTATTGAAGTTATTGAAATTTTGAGAGAAAAAACTTTCCGAGAGAAAGTAAATCTCGTAAAAAAATTTCTTTTATAAAAATATTAGACAGTATTCATAGGATGCGAACCCTAGCAATAAAATCCCGACGTATCATACTGCTTTGAGACTAACATGCTAACCACTACGCAGCACGTTTGTGATATGACCCTTGACTTAATGGACTTGAAGTATTTCTCGGAAAGATGCGAATGTATGTTTTGTCATAAAAGTGTACTTTTAAGGTGTAGTAGGTGTTCGCTCCATGTTTTTGCAAACCAAAAAATGTATATTTTATTGCAAACTTTTAGGATTATCTTTCAAAAAAAATGGAGCGAAGACCCACTCATATTGAAAAATTTTGTTAAAGTATAAAAAATGATCGTTTTTGTTCTTTTTAGTGTGTGTATGCTTTTTCATAGGCAAATATTTTCAGTCTTTGTGAAATTTTTGTAAATTGTAGAGATTTTACATCAATATTAGTATTAATATTAGATGAAATGTTTAATAAAATTTGGATATAATTGAGATTAAATTTTTTCACTTCATATCTGTCGCACTATAGGCACTTCGTCCGCCTTATCCCCCCATTTTCTTTGTCTCAGTAAAGATCTCGCGAAAATAAGGTGTCACAAAATCTAACTTAGTAATCTTCAGTATTGTACAGAATACTCAAGCTCAAATTAACTAAAACTGCGGAACATTTACTGTTTTCTGCCGTTAGAAATTTACATTCAGAAATTTTAAGAATATAAGTTGATCGAGAAATGTGCAGAAATGTTATACATATTTGTTATATTCATTGACTGGAATTTGGACATATGTCACAGCAATGTTCTCTTTATTTTGTAGGCTGTACCCATAAAGAGAAAGCGATCCTGGCGATACAACCGTGTCTGGACAAAGGACCAGAAGTGGACACGAGAGGTGAACATCATATTTATATCCTGTTGCTGGAGACTTTTAAAATAAATATGATAATAATCACGAAACTAAAACTGTTTGATGATCAAAGCATCTTCATAAAGAGAGAGATTTATCATTATCTGACATGAAAAATTTAATCCAACCATTGTTGCCTTTCAGGGACTCGCCACCAGCGTACAACAGAAGGTGCCACTCCCCTCCAAAAAAGACCAACCCAAACAGGTATGTTGGGTTATAATAATTAAAAATAAGAGTTAAAGCAGCATCTTAGCAATGTAAACCAAATATTATCATTATTGTATGGGATATTGGCAACTTATAGTGATAGTTCACTTTTTTTTTAAAATTTCAGACCGGTGATGAATCGGGCAAGGACTCGTCAGAGACCGGAAACTCGCCATCCTGGGAAACTGACGAGGTGTGGCACTCGAGTATTATTTATTGACTTTATGTAATTATTGATTATACATGTATAATAGTAATGGTGTGTACAGTAATTATGTCCTACTGATTTCCTCTGTTTTGTAGGTCGTGCCCAAACGGAGGAGGATAACCTGGAGGTACAACAGAGTCTGGCGGAGGGACCAGAAATGGACAAGAGAGGTGAATGTTCAGCATCATTTACAAGTACATTTGAAAGGGGGCAATTTAAAAAAAGATAACTGATATCCAAATGTACATTTTTTTTATCAATAAAATATAATTTTGGACATGATAAAATGCTGAAAGATACATTATTATGGAGATTTAATATAGATATTAATCACTATTTTCACAGGGATTATAATTATGAGCTACATGAAGATATTAAACTGAAATAAACATTGTATTTTAGGAGCAGACCCAGCAGCAGAATACACCACCCACCACCCAGGTGACCAGTGACGGACCCACCAAGGTGCCAACTGTCACTGAACCCAAACAGGTAAATTAATAACCAGGAATCTTAATCTAAGTGCCCCAGTTACTTATTGACTATTTCTAATCATTTAGGGTTATTACTTTTAAATATCCCTTCAAATTGGATGTGTATAACTGTTTATCTTAAACCCCTGTCACACCAGGGCTGCGTCCTCACGGCGACTGCACGGCGTCCTCAAAATATGCAAAACGCCGAGGTGATCGCAGTAGAGTCTCCTACAGCGCCGTGACAACGCGGCGAGATCTCCACTGAACGCTGTAGGGTCGCATAGGGTATCCTAGAACGCCAGTGGACGGCGATCACTTTGGGCATGCACAAAGTACGCGCCGTGTGATCGCGGTCTGATAAGAACGCAGTAGAAACGTAGTATGATCGCTGTAGCAGCGCGGTGAGATCTCCAACAACGTAGTGGGAGCTCCGTATGAAGGCCGTGAAGACGCACATGATCGCGGTACGAACGCAGTGATAGTAGACTGCGCTTCCACGGAGACCTCACGGAGATGTCGCGGAGTCCTTGGAGATGACACTGCGTTTCTATCGCGTTTTTACGGCGCGTCTAATGAGATTTGTCGTCTTGTGATTTTTTCGACTGCGATTACACGGCGACAGCACGGAGTTGTCACTGCGATCATTGCGCTCCCATGGCGTTTCTACAGCGTCCATGGCGATCACAATGCGCTTTCACGGCGTTGTTAGGGCGTTGTCAGACAGCTCACGAAACAAGAGCAATGAGATCATATTTTGATCAGCAATAATTCCAACGTATTTGTTGCACTAGGAGCATTTAAGTGAAAAAAAAAATGGAAGAGAAAATTACACCAGAACTTCTTCTGTTGTTTCACTTAAATATTGTAAAAAACTTTTCAGTGTGTTTATTTTTTTTTTTACATTCATAATAAAATCAAAGAAAATCTAACAACACATCTGAACCGATAAAATTGAAAAAAGAAGTTTAATCATAAAACTAATAAAAATTTAGTACTTAATTATTTAAATAGAATATTTTTAATTACTAAGAATATTTCTTGGCATGATTAGAAGTCTTTTCATCGTGTAACTTGAATCGTTAAACAAAAATGTTTTACATTCCTTCTGAAAATATATCAATGAGTATAGAACGCATTGTGAACGTATTGTGAACGCAGCCAGCGCAGTGAGAACGCCGTGAACACGAGGTGAAAACTCCTAACGCGCCGTGAAAACTCCGCGTAAGCGCAGTCAATCGCCGAGAGATGTCCGTGGGAACTCCGTGAGATCGCCGTAGAATCGCGTCCGTCGCCGTAGGGACGCCGTGACATCTTCATATTGTGAAAATTTACAGAAAATTGTGCAATTTTCCTGCGATTCCACGGCGATTTAAAAAATTTAACAACGCCGTAATGACTCCGTGTGAACGCAGCTTGGTGTGAAAGGGCCTTTAAGTGTCCTACCGATTTGTTGAAATGTTTATGAATCAGCACTGTTTAAACTTTGGAATACTTCTTTTCTTTGGCGCTCATATACACATTAACTTTGAATATCACACTACATTGTCATCATAATTATTCATCTGAGACAGCAGAATACTTATTTCTTTATCAGAATACGTCTTACTTCAGCAACATTCTTATTTCTTCAGAAATATTCTTGATTAACCGAGTACCTCTTAATTTTTTTTATTTCTAAGCGAATTTTCAACCTATCCCGAGATAATTCCAGTCAGAATTTGATTCAATTGATTCTTATTTAACAGCCTGAGCCACCACAGTTCCTGAGGAACTACTGGAGGACCAACCGGGTGTGGAGACGGGACATGGTGTGGACCCGAAAGGTAAACAGGGTACAATTGTCCTCTGTCATATTGGTGACAATCAGAATCAGGCTAGCTATACAGTCTTTTAAAGGTAGCAGTGTTGTACACATAATTCTCTGTAATATGCTGCCATTTGTGATGTATTGCTGATGGAACTATCACTGTTATGGAAGGAGTTTCCAAGCAGCAGGTTTGAGTCTCTTTTACTCAAGCTGATTGAACATCCAAAACTTGCGATACGGAAGGCAGACTGCGTGTTTTGACTGGTTGGATTAAGATTGCAGAAGGGATCCAAGATCAGGGTTGCTTGTCCAGGTACCACACTATACAAGGTCTAGTCTACAATCCTGGAAGAACTGGTTGTGGACAGAAGAGATAATCATTTTAGCTGGGGATCATGGGACCTAATAGGAGGTCAACTGTGGAGTGGTGCTAGGACTAGGTTGAGGCATACCATAAACTGTACTAATGTGTACTGTGAAATCACAAATTTTGGTGGGTGGTTCATTATCATTGTTTTCGAAGTATGAAGAGACATACGAATTCATATCCACCACGAAATGTATAATGTTACATACATCACTCCTCAACAATTCTTCATCCATGAATCCAAATCCCCATGAGGCAAGAGTTTTTACTCAAACCGCAAAAATTTGACCCCAGGAAAATATGTGATTTTACAGTGTCTGACCATTAAATCAAATACACTTTGTGAAAAATCAGGAGAATTTTGTCCAATTTTAATACGAATATAGGTACATGAATGATGTAGATTATACTAAGTTGCATACTTCTTTTTATTGGTATTTTATTTCGACAAATGGTGTTAAATGCCATAGTCACTTAAATTAAATATCTTTGAATTGATTTTGTCTCCTGCAGTTTGGTATGATTTCAGTAAGACTTTGTACACAAGTAGATACATCTTTTTATCTATTGTTTTTTGATTTTGACAAATTGTGCTGTCATTAAAGATAGAAACAAGTTTATTTTTTCTCAAAAAGTTATTTTTCTTACACTTTCGAACCAATGCCAATAAGTTGATGCAGGAGTAGACTATGTTAAAATACAGTATGTCATATTAATGTAGCGTAGCGTTTTTTGACTGTGATAAATGATGTTACCATGGTTACTAAATTTCTATATACAGTACCTAGGTAATTCATCCTACAGTTAAAATTTATTTTCAATTATTAGTCTTGATACACAAGTAGACTATACTTTATACTGAGAAAAATAATTCTATGTCTTGCTTTTTTTTTAATTATTCGATGTTGCCATGGGATACATATGTACAATAATTACACTCTAAAAAAAGTTTTACTTGTTGCTTTTAAAATAAGATATTAGATTAAGAAAAACTAGTAATTATTAGTAATCCATTTAGTCAGAATAGCAAGTAAATGACTATCATTGTTAGTAATTGTAAACATAATTAGTAATAAGGATGAATTCCTTTACTTATAAAATGATTTACTAAGTATCAATACTTAATAGGAATTATATTACTTAGTAAATGAACTACTCATTTTTAGTAAATCTTTATTACTTAATTTAGAGATAATATGCTTTCTATTTACTTGGTTTTATGAATTATTACTAAGTAAATGTAATTCTGAAATTAATTAAAATCCAGAATATTATTACTTAGGAGAATACTAAGTAAATGAAATACTTATCGTATTTACTAAAATCGACATTATTTCTTTGCAATTGTTTTATTATATTTAGCAATAAAACATTTAATTCCAACATCAAAAGCCTTCTAAATTGAATAATTTGTATATTTTTAAGGACCATTTTAAAAATGGTTTAAAGATTCAAGTACTTAATACAGCATTTTAATTAGTATAACTTTTTTTTTACATGAAGGATTATTTAGAAGAAAGATAACTCCTCCTCACAGACAATTAAAATGAAAATTTAAGAATTCAATCCTGATAGTAATTAGACTACCATTTTTAAGTAATTATTTGTATTGCAACTGCTCTGATTTTTCCTTGATTCAGTAAATAAATTACTGTTTTAAGTAAATCAATTGAATACAATTTAAACAAGATGTGTTTGTGAAACATTAATGCCCCCATATGGCAAATGGTCAATGTTATTGGTATCTAATGAAAGGTCCTGCCACAAAAAATACATATCTCAAATATGGAAGCACTAGCCCCAACCCTTCAGAAGTTATGGTCAAGTTTACCAACTTTGAAATGTATATCAAACTCCAAGGTCAAGGACAAAGAGTCAGATTTGGTGGTACCCAAAGAAAGGTCTTGTCACAAGGATGAAATATGTAATGTATGAATGCACTAACCCCAACCTTTGGAAACTTAAAGTCAATGTTTGCTTTTTAAAAGTGGGTCAAACTCCAAGGTCAATGTCAAAGGGTCAAAGTTCTTGGTATCTAATGAATGGTCTTCTCACAGGAATTACATATATGTAAGTATGAAAACCCTATCCCTTATCGTTCAAAAGTAATGGCCAAGGTTAAAGTTTTTTCACAAGGATTGAAATCTCCAAGGTCAATGTCAAATGGTCATGGATGTTGGTATCCAATGAAAGGTCTTTCAACAAAGAGTATATATGTGAATTAAAAAGATATGGCTAAAGAAAAAGTTTGGAATTTGTAAAAGTGGGTCAAACTCCAAGGTCAAGGTCAAATTTGGCGATACTCAAAGATAGGTCTTGTCAAAAGGAATGGACATGTGAAATATGCAAGTCATAGCTCCGCTTAATCAAAAGTCATGGGCAAGGTTAAAGTTTTTGCGGACAAACAGACAGACAGAGAGACAGACAGATAGACACGACAAAGACTATATACCCCCGAAACTTCGTTTACGGGGCAAAAAAATATTAGCTATATATATATAGGAATTAAAATAAAATTCTGATATCATTATTTTTTTTTCATTATAGTATATATATAGTAATTAGACTACCAGATTTAAGTAATTTGTTCTGCAGCTGCTCTTAATCCTCCTTGATGCAGTAAATAATTTATTGTTTTAAGTAAAACAATTAAATATAGCAATTTGAAAATATTTTAGTAATAGCTAGTAATTAGTGGTAAACTGTAAGTAAAAACCAAGTAATATGTTATTACCTACATACACAAATTTAAGTAAATATAAATTACTAAGTAAAACTTTTTTTAGAGTGTAGATTTTTCTTGAAATTCTCTTTTTTCTGTTTTGGTTGGACATTAATAGACATGATATACAAGTATTCTATACTACTTGATAAGTAAATGCAAGTAGAGCTTCTAGTACATGTATTTGTATAAATAAAATAAATTTTAAATTGAAATCGTCTGAAAAATCTTTCTGAATTTGAAGACAACTGAAATATCCATGGAGGAGTCCTAACAAAACTGTAAATTTCTGCAACCTGAATCCAAATGTTGTCTTAATTAATAGAATGAGAAATTTAAGATACTTTAAAAGTGACTGTCAAGTCCCATGGGCCTCTTGTTTAGATAAAAAATTGTATTAAGAATACATAAAGCTAAATCAGGTATTCAAAGGTAAATCCAGGTAAATCCGAACCAGAAATCAGACTATAATTGCTATAAAAACACACTTCACACCTTTTGTTCTATACCTAATTACAAATGTGTGCAAAACGGGAACACACCGAATATAAAAAGACATAGGTAATCATGCAGAAATTACAGAGCTCACCTAAATGAATGCAATGTCCTAAGTAAGACAAAGTCCCACATTAAACTAACAATCTTGAAGTTTACATTGTAAGATGCACAATTTAAGGAATTTTGATCTGTTATAATAGGTTTGCAGTTGTTTGGGAATAGACTTGTACAAAAACTTCAAACTAGACATCCAACAAGTAATTCAAATCCAGCATCAGATGAAATTAGTTTGAGAGCGTTCATCACTTGATCCATCATCCATGCAAACTTGTTTAAGAAAGGCCTTATAGTTTCTTGGTAATAGACCTGCACCCATAACTTTAACCTGGTTCATTATCTGGGATATGCATGTCAGATCCAGCAACCAATAAAAGTCGATAAGTGTGTATCCTTCGTTGTATCATCCACGCAAGTTTTGTCAACATGGAGCTTATAGTTACTATAGAATGAATCTGCTCCAAAAGCTTAAACCTGTTCATTAATCCGTAAAATGTAGGTCAGATTCAGCATCCAAAGCAAGTCCAGTGTTCATCCTTAGATGTATCATCCGTGCAAGCATGATCAATATAGGGCTCATAATAATTTGGAAATGATACAATTTAGATGTGTCATCTAAGCAAGTTTGGTCAAAGTATGACTTACAGTTACGTAGAAATGAAACCTGCACCAAACACTTCATCCTGGTTACTCATCTGGAAAATGTAGGTCAGATCCACCATCCAAAGCAAGCCTGGTAGTATGCACCCTTAGATGTATCATCTATACAAGTTTGGTCATCATATGGTTCATAGTTACTTGGAAATGAAACCTGCACCCTTAAACTGCTTACTCATCCAGAAAACATAGGTTAGACTTCGCATCCATAGCAAGCTCTGTTGTGTGCATCCTGAGATGTATCATCCTGATCAACATAGGGCTTATAGTTATATACTTGAAAAAGAGACCTGCACCAAAAACATGAACTCCCACAAAACACATTAACATGGTCATTCTTTTGCTGAAATTGCAGGATCTGAAACCTTGACTGGTATAATGAAAGACAACAGAAGCATCCATTCATGCATGTCTGATCAATATATGGCATAGAAGTAGTTAAAAAGAAAAATGTACAAAAATTGTAACCTAATATGCCCGTGTCAATGCAGCGGGTATCACATACGCTCCCCCAACTTCATTGACTTGAGCTTAAAAACAAGAAAACACTTCCAAAGAAACAAAAAAAAGTCCAAACTGCAGTTACTGAGTTCTCCTGTGTTGGCACCACGAGACCAGGGAGAAAGAGCGGGCAGATAGTCGTGTGGAATTATGGGTAAAAGGTCAAAGGTAAATTTATTCTTTAAAATCATCAATCATAGGACAGTTAGTCACAGCTGAGAAATGCAAGTATAATACAATATGTTTATAAATTGCATTACATGTATATGTTTTACGGTCAAAGTCATCATGAAAGAGTCTTTTACCTGCCCGTCGTCTTTCAAAAATTCGGGTTTGGGTTCATTATTCATTGGCAAAGGGGTTGTGTTTTCTATAAAGGCTTTTTTCCTATATTTGATCTTTATTAAAGTGTGAAAAATGGCTGTTTATCCTGATCAAAATAGTTATTTTGCAGTTACTTAATTTATAACAATTTTAATAATTCCTTCTTTCTTTATTTTCATAGCCATCATTAGAGCCAGAGGCCAAGACTGCTGTTGCTGTAAGTACTCAGACACAATGTAATAAACATATACAGCAATAATTTATAATATTGCTCAGTATAATATCCACAGTGTGTATTTTATTTTGCATAGAAATTTTTGTCTTGTAAAGAATTTTTTTTTCAAATAAACAGAGTATGACACTTTGGTACCTTTCTTCCAGGAGGCTGACCCACCCTCTCCCTCTTTTGAGACTGGACTCGGTGAGGTACATACTGAGGTCACCACTGGAGCTTCCCTGGGTGAAGACGTCCCTCCCAGACATTCCTCTTTGGCTGATGAGTCGCATCCTGCCCCACCTTCCGATGTCGGATCTACCTCACGTGTGGAGATTCCTCTCAACTCTTCCTCTGACGAGCCTAGAGCTGCCACTGACAGGGTAGGTGTAATCAAAAGGATAAAAAATCTTACAAGAACATGTATCATTAAGCTCCAACAAAGCAATGAAACCGTGGCAAACAAAACTTTTTTGTACATAAAATGGTTTATTCAAAATTTTGCGCAATCACTGGGTATTGAGTTGTAGGCCTATTCATGAGTTAGAGCGACACACTTCCACACTTTATATTGTATTTATATATGATTTCTTAGCAGTATTCATGAATTAGAGCATCAATGTGTCTGTGCCAAAGCCGCTAAAATATGAAGCCCGCATATTTATGAAACCATACAGTATAATCTAAGCAAAGTAAAGTCAATATTTGAGAGGAGAATAATGGCTGCTTTGAAGAGATACTAGAAAGGCAAGAAAAATAAGTGAAATTCAATAAATTATTTTTTCAGAAGACTGATGGCAAGCTGCCAGAGACAGAGAGATTGGTAGAGGACAAGGCAGGAGGGGACGGCTGTACAGAGACGAAGCCGACAGGGGCGAAGGTAATGGGAAATACTAGTAGTCGTTATCAATTACAGATATATAACATATGAAATGTCTACATATGTGTCTATGAAATAGTTGTCTGATGAATATTGTATTGGTTTATTTCAGGAGCGACCCACTTGCAAACGTAAAAGACCAGACCAACCTTTCGTGCCTTCGAAGAGACAGAAGACTGCTTTGGTAGGCATTTTGTTGTAATATTGACCACTTTTAAAAATGTATTCTTCTAGAAAATTCTGTTATTCTAGCAATTTTATCATTTTTTCTGAATTACTCCATTTGAATTCTTTTCTTTTTTAGCTTTCACCGATGGAGATTGAAATACAGTGCCTGGAACGAATGTTTGCTGCCTTGAGCTTGTAGGCCCCAACTTTTACCTGTGTGACTATTCAACTGACCTAAAACTTCTGACATCTGCTGTATGCTGTTTTGGGTTGGTCTGTTTCTCCATATTTTCTAGCTATGTCACACAGGTATGTGGTCCTACATCTCTTTGTATATATGTTACATATTTCATACTGAATCAGTGTAAATAGTTTTGATTAAATTTTGTTATTTTACATATTTGACATTGACATTTTTTTTTCATTTTCGTTTTTTGATTTATTATATTCTTAATTTTAAATTTGTTTGGCATAATATTTTTTTCTCTTTTTGAAATAATGTAAATACTTGTTGATTTTTTCCAATAAACATAAAAGAACTTTTTCTTGTTATGTTTTTATTTGATGATGGAGACATATATCACATGCTGATACCTTCATATTATTCTATTAGAAGAGCACAGTAACTCGGCAAAATGGATTCTGGAGTATAATAGTCTATAGTCACATCAACATTGAAGGATTAAATATATTGCTGTTTAAAGAGACTATAAACATAGGTTCATGTAATCAGAGATTACAGAGCTCACCTCAACGAATGTTGTCTTTTAAGTGAGGCAAAAAGTCCCACATTAAACTAACAATCTTGAAGTGTACATACCAAATTGCAAAATTTACGAAATTTTGATCTGACAGAGCTTGCAGTTACTTGCATGGAAATAGACTTATCCAAACACTTGAAACTAGACTCCCATCAAGAAAATGTTTTTTTTCAAATCCAGCATCTTAAGCAAGTTTGAGAGTGTTCATCCATTGATGCGTCATCCATGCAAGTTTGGTTAACATAGGCCTTATTTTTTCTTGGTAATAGACCTGCACCCATAACATTAACCTGGTCCATTAGCTGGGAAATGTATGTCGGATCAAGCATCTGAAGCAAGTCCATTAATGTGTATCCTTATACATGTATAATTCATGCAAGTTTGCTCAAAATAGAGCTTAGACCTCCATAGAATAAACCTGCTTCAAAAACTTTTAACCTGTGCGGAAAATGTAGGTCAGATTAAGCAGCACAAGCAAGCCTGGTAGTGTGTATCCTTAGTTATATCATCCGTGCAAGTTTGGTCAACATAGGACTTATCGTTACTTGGAAATGGGACCTGCAAGTTTTCTCAACATAAAACATAGACCTCCTTAGACCTCCTTCAAAACTTGTTCACTCATCCGGAAAATGTAGGCCAGATCAAGCATCTGAAGCAAACTTGGTAGTATGCATCCTTGGATGTTTCATCCATGCCAGTTTGGGCACATAGTTTTTTTTTTAGAAATGAGACCTGTACCAAAACATTAACCTGTTCACTCATCCTGATAAATGTAGATCAGATCTAGCATCAGAAGCAAGCCTGGCAGTATGAATCCTTTTATGTATCATCCACGCAAGTTTGGTATAAAATGACTGATCGTTACTTGGAAATGAGACCTGCACCAAAAACATTAACCTGTTCACTCATCTGAAAAATGTAGGTCAGAACCATCATCGGAAGCAAGCCTGGTAGTATGCATCCTTAGCTGTTCCATCCATGCAAGTTTGACCAACATAGGACTTATCGTTACTTGGAAATGGGACCTGCAAGTTTTCTCAACATAAAACATAGACCTCCTTAGAATGAACCTGCTTCAAAACTTGTTCACTCATCCGGAAAATGTAGGCCAGATCAAGCATCTGAAGCAAACTTGGTAGTATGCATCCTTGGATGTTTCATCCATGCCAGTTTGGGCACATAGTTTTTTTTTTTTAGAAATGAGACCTGCACCAAAACATTAACCTGTTCACTCATCCTGAAAAATGTAGATCAGATCTAGCATCTGAAGCAAGCTTGGTAGTATGCATCCTTAGATATATCATCCACGCAACTTTGGTAATAATAGGGCTCATCGTTACTTTGAAATGAGACCTGCACCAAAAACATTAACCTGTTCACTCATCTGAAAAATGTAGGTCAGATCCAGCATCCAAAGCAAGCCTGGTAGTATGCATCCTTAGATGTTCCATCCGTGCAAGTTTGGTCAACATAGGACTTATCGTTACTTGGAAATAAGACCTGCACCAAAACATTAACCTTTTCACTCATGCGGAAAATGTAGGTCTGATCCAGGATCTGAAGCAAGCCTGGTAGTATGCATCCTTGGATGTTTCATCCATGCAAGTTTGGTCAACATAGGACTTATCGTTACTTAAAAATGACACCTCCACCAAAAACATGGGATGTTCCATCCATGCAACTTTGGTCAACATAGGGCTTATCGTTACTTGGAAATGAGACCTGCACTGAAAACATTAACCTGGTCACTCCTGCGGAAAATGTAGGTCAGATTCAGCATCTGAAGCATGCCTGGTAGATTGCATCTTTAGATGTATCATCCATGCAAGTTTGGTCAACATAGGACTTATCGTTACTTAAAAATGAGATCTGCACCAAAACATTAACCTGTTCACTCATGCGGAAAATGTAGGTTAAATTCAGCATCTGAAGCAACCCTGGTAGTATGCATCCTTAGATGAATCATCCATGCAAGTTTGGTAAACATAAGACTTACCGTTACTTGGAAATGAGACCTGCTCCAAAATCATTGACTCGTTCACTCATGCAGAAAATGTAGGTCAGATCCAGCGTCTGAAGCAAGCCTGGCATTTTCATCCTTAGATGTATCATCCATATAAATTTAATCATCATAAGACTAATATTTATATTAACATGTTAACATATGCGGAAAATATAGGTTAGATCCAGCATCAGAAGCAAGCCTGGTAGTATGTACCCTTAGATGTATCATCCACGCAAGTTTCGTCGACATAGGACATGCTTACTTGGATATGATTTACTGATTGTATGTTGTTTAACGTCTCTTTTGCGAGAAATTTTCTCTCATATGGAGACGCCACTACTCTCTGGTGGAGAGCTGCAAATTTTGTCCTATGCTACGGCCATTTAGCAGGGAGGGATTTTTTTTCTTGCCAGCACCTACTGCGACGCGGGACCTCGATTTATACGGTCTCATCTGAAGGACCGGTCACCACGTCCAACAATGGGAATAGAACCTGCGACGTAAGGTTTAACTCATTACTTCGTGACTTTAGAGCAGACGCTCTAACCACTGCGCCACGCGAGCGACTTGGATGGATACGAGACCTGCACCAAAAACATTAACCTGTTCACTCATCCAGAAAATGTTGGGCAGATCCAGCTTCTGGAGCACGCCTGATAGTATGCATCCTTGAGGCACCTAGCAAGGGGGGGGGGGGGGCAGGGTCCTTTTTCCCAACATTACTTTTACTATTGAAAAAGTTCATTGAAAGGCTGATAGCCCCCCCAACTTTTTACTACAGTAAAGTGATATTAGGGAAATGAAGTATTGTATGCCAAAAAAATTGGTAATGAACGAAGTTGGCATTGAAAAAAGTTGGCTCTTCATTAAGGTGAGCTAAAAATCATATCATGACCCCGGGGGACTGGCATGGAAACAATAAGAAAGTTTTACATTAAAAATGTAAGAAATTTCAAAAAATCTTTAAAAGTCTTCTTCTCAAAAACCACTGAACCGGAAGAGCTGAAACATATATATGGATCGAAGCATCCATATATAGGGTAGTGTAGATTCTAAATTGCTCAAATCATGATCCCCCTGGGGCAGGACAGGGCAAAAAAAGGGAATTTAAGTTTCACGTTGAAATATATAGGCAATTGAAGCAAGATTTTGTTTGTGAAACACTGATGTCCCCGTATGGCAACATAGCAAAGATTAAACTTTAATTTAAGGAAATTGGTACCAAAAGTAGGGTATTCTCACTGGAAATACAATTGTGAAATATGAAAGTAGGCCATGGTTAAAGTTTTTTCATAAGTACAGAAATCTTCAAGGTCATTTGTGAAGTATGAAAAGCCCTAGCATTAACCCTTCAAAAGTTATGGCCAAGGTTACCAAATTTTGAAAAGTAGGTCAAACTCCAAGGTCAAGGTCAAAGGGTCATATTTGGTGATACCCAAAGAAAGGTGTTGTCACAGGGTTGATATATGTAAAGTATGAATGCACTAGCCCTAACTCTTTAAAAGTTATGGTCAAGGTTAAATTTTAAAAGTAGGTCAAACTCCAAAGTCAAGGTCAAAGGGTTAAAGTTCTTGGTATGAAATGAAAGGTCTTCTCACAAGGATAACATATGTGATTTTTGTGTAAAAATGGGTCAAACTCCAAGGTCAAGGTCAAAGGGTCATGGTTCTTGATATCAAATGAACGGTCTTGTCATAAGAATGAAATAAGTGAAGTATGAAAGCCCTAGTTCTAACCCTTCAAAAATTATTTTCAAGGTTGTATTTGAAAAGTACACTGTAGGTCAGACTCCAAGGTCAAAGGGTCAAAGCTTTGGTCCCGTAAACGAAGTTTCGGGGGTTTATAGTTTTTGTCATGCCCGTCCGTCTGTCTGTCTGTCTAGCTGTCCGTCTGTCTGTATCTCTGTTTGTTCGCAAAAACATTAACCTTGCCCATAACTTTTGATTTAGTGGAGCTATGACTTTCATATATCACATGTGTATTCCTTATGACAAGACCTTTCTTTGGGTACCACCAAATTTGACCTTTTGACCTTGACCTTGGAGTTTGACCCACTTTTACACAAAAATTCCAAACTTTTACGTATGCCATATCTTTCGAACAGTAGATACCAGGACTTTTATACTGCATATATGTATTCTTTGTGGCAAGACCTTTCATTGAGTACCAAACAATTTGACCTTCTGACCTTGAAGATGTCCGTACTTATGAAAAAACTTAAACCTTGGCCATATCTTTTAAACGGTAAGGGCTAGGACATTCATACTATGTAATCCTTGTGAGAAGACGCTTCATTGGATACCAAGAACTTTGTCCCTTTGACCTTGACCTTGGAGTTTGACCTACTTTTCAAATACAACCTTGAACATAGTTTTTGAAGGGTTAGAACTAGGGCTTTCATACTTCACTTATTTCATTCTTATAACAAGACCTTTCATTTGATATCAAGAACCTTGACCTTGGAGTTTGACCCATTTTTACACAAAAATCCAAACTTTTACTTTCGCCCTAATTTTTCCACAATAGATATTAGGAATTTTATATTTCA